ATTTTATGTATAATATAAATTGTATATGATTTATTTCATATTTAAATTTGTATTTTTTATGTTTTAAATATTTATTTATTATTATTTAAGAGGATTTTCTTCAGTTTGACAGTACAAAAATGATTTTTAATTCCCTTTTATTCCCGACAGGTGTCCGCGGCCCTGGCGTCGAACCTCGGGACGGTTTCGGCCCAGACGCTGGCGTCTCTGGGCAACGCCAGCTCGGGTCTGAGCAACGGCCAGATCGGCTCGGCCTCCCCCTCGGTGCTGCTGACCTCCCTGCCCACGCTGAGCTCGGTGAGCGGCTGGAGCCAGGGCCAGGCCTCCATCATCGTGGGGGTCATCACGGCCGGCGGGTTCCAGGCCGACCGGGCGCCCGCCCTGGCCTCGCTGGGCTCGCTGGTGGCCGGCCTCCCGGCCGCCGCCATGCAGGAGGTCCCCGCCTCCGAGCTGCTCAACGTGTCCCGGAGCCCCGCCTTCGTGTCCAACATGCTGACCGCGCCCAGCGTCCTGCAGGAGACCTTCGTCAAAAAGGTACAAAACCAGCCAATCGGACACAAAAATGGTCAGAAAGAGACACAAACTTTAGACGATGAACACAAAACGTGAAGCAAAAGAGCAGAAACAAGGAAAAACTGACCAGAAGTCCATAACAAATGTCAAGAATGGACAAAAAATGAGGAGAATGTGAAGCAAAATATGAGCAAAACAACAAAAATATCCACTTTTCATCATTTAAATATTCAATACGTTCAGATTATTTCGTTTTTTAGCATGTTTTTTTACTGTTTAACCCAGAGGGATGTTGCATATTACATCTTCTCCAACTGCTAAAAGGTCCAGCAAAAGACAAGAAACAGGTAAAAAATGGTCAGAAAGAAACAAACTTTAGACTATGAACCCAAAATGTAAAGAAAATGACCAGAAACAAGGAAAAACTAACCAGAAGCCCATAAAAAATGTCAAGAAACAGGTAAAAAATGGTCAAAAAGAGACACAAACTTTAGACAATCAACACTAAACGTGAACAAAAATACAAGAAACAGGGAAAAACTGACCAGAAGCCCATAAAAAATGTCAATAATGGACAAAAAATTTGGAGAATGTAAAGCAAAATATGAGCAAAACAACAAAAATGCTAAAACAAAATCCACAAAATGATCAGGAGAAGACAAACAACTTCAACAACGGACGTAAATTATCGAGCTTTAAAAGCTCTAAAGCTCTAACTCGTTCCATGGGAAGTTTTTTTGGGGAAAACTGAAGAAATTTAAAGGCATCAAAAGCCAATTTTAAGAAAGAACAACAAGCTAGGAAGTGAACTCGTTTCTTTTGTGGGCAGATCATTTCTGTGGACGCCAGTCCGGTCCAGGTGGTCCAGAACGTCCCGGACGCCATGGCGACGCAGATCCCCCCCCGCCTGCTGGCGTTCCCGGGGGAGAACGCCGACATCAGCGTGATGAACAGAAAGACCTGGACGTCCAGCCAGGTAACCATGGCAACGGGGACGGGATCCCCGGGTCTCACTGGGGGAGACGGTTCTAACGCTCTGGACTCTTTCTGTTTCAGGCCGCCATGTTTTTCGGGTCTTTGGAGAAAACTGACTTTGACCTGGACGAGTGAGTGAAAACTACGGGGCGCCACCAGGGACAAAAATCAGAATGGACCACAGTACACACAACTGAAATTAAACTCTTCCACATACTGAAAACCCTGCACAAACACTAGTGTAAAGCTCTCATACACACTAGTGAAAAGCTCTTATACACACTTCTAAAAGCTCTAATACACACTACTAAAAGCTCTCATACACACTAATGAAAAGCTCTCATACACACTAGTGAAAGCTCTTATACACACTAGTGAAAAGCTCTTATACACACTTCTAAAAGCTCTCATACACACTAGTGAAAAGCTCCAATACACACTAGTGAAAAGCTCTAATACACACTATTAAAAAGCTCTCATACACACTATTAAAAAGCTCTCATACACACTAGTGAAAAGCTCTAATACACACTATTAAAAAGCTCTCATACACACTAGTGTAAAGCTCTAATACACACTATTAAAAAGCTCTCATACACACTAGTCACTAGTGTGTATGAGAGCTTTTTAATAGTGTGTATTAGAGCTTTTCACTAGTG